TGCGATCATTTCCTTCATTTAATATAAACCATTTTTCATTTCTATTAATTTCTCCTAGTTGTTCTAATTTTGTAATTCTTTTTTTAAGTTCTAAATATATAACTTCAATAGGGTTTATAGGAAGTTTTCTGAATTTTGTATTCTTTATTATCTCTTGTTTCTTATTTCTAACCCACTCTTGGGTAACTATTACGATTTGTTTGGATTTGTCAGCTTTTATGATTTCTATTTTATTTTCCTTTAAAAAATTATGTAATTTTTTAAAGGAAAAATCAAATTAAAAAATTACATAATTTTTTAATTTGATTTTTATATTGAAAGTAATTCCTATCTTTAATTATTGATTTCCTTCCTTCTTTGGTTACGTATTTTTTAATTATATTACTTAATTTCATTTTTATCATACTTGATTCAATATCTGAAAGATTACTACATATTTTGTCTAAATTTGGTAGTATGTCTAAAACGTTCCATTTGTTTGGACCATTAAAGTCTAGTCCTTTATTTAATATTTCTTTGATGTTTGTTGGAATCTCTATTCTTGTTTTGTTTAAAATAAGATTCTCTTTCCATTTTGTCAATTCCTCAATGGTGGGATATTGGAATTTTTTAACTAATCTTTTATATTTATTTACTTCATATCTTTGATTATTCTCTACCCTTCCATTTGTATTCTTTAATTCATCTGATTTATTCCTTGTTTTAAGTTTTTTTATGGCACGTTTTAGTCTTCTAATCCTAATATATTTGTATTGTATTGCAGCTCTTAGTATATATACACAGGAATCAGAGTTGCTGATTTTTGGGGGTCAATTTCTCTGCCCCAAACACTTGAAGTAATTCTTAATATCTCGTTTGAAAGAAAATTGTTTTCTTAGGTAGTGTGCAAAATTTATTTCAAGATTTTCCGTAAAGCAGCTGCTGAAATATAAGCAATTGAAAAGTGCAAAAATTCTTTTTCTTTATCCAGAGCACTGCAGATGGTACAAAAAAAAACTACTGGGTCTAGAAAGCTCAAATTTTAAACATAAGCCTTTCTCATTATCAGTGAGATGCTCACAAAACTTCAGAGTTGATAGCTCAAAGTTCATGCGGTTTCCCATAGAGCTAATTCAGTTTTATAGCTTAATTGTATGCTTATAGAGATAAAATTGCATGAAAACAAGTCAATTTTATTCAGAATGTTGCTCAGAATTACAAAAGCATAAATTTTATGCAAATTAAAACTTTTTATGATGATTTTTCTAAAAGGTTTATTGAAAGTGTCATTGGGCAGTGCATTGGTCAGCAATGCATTCATTCGACAGTTGCTGAATGAATGCATTGCTTGATGTAATAATACAATTATTAAACAAACACAATTGAAATCCAAACAAAAACATCTGAGATGTAAAAAAATTTTGCCAAGTAAAAACTTATGGCAATTATGATGCCAGTCAAAATTTTTTTAGGCATTTTTCTTTGGTGAAGATAAGCTTGGTGCTCTGAAGCAATACCCACAAGATATTTACCTGTATTATTATTTTCTATATTTCGTTTCCAAGCACCAAGCTTATCTTTACCAATGGAAAACTCCTAAAAAAACTTTGACTGTCGTCTAAATTGTCATAAGTTTTTACTTAGTGAAAATTTTTTACATCTCAGATCTCAGATGTTTTTGTTTGGATTTATATTCTCGAAAAACTCATGTTAAGATCACTCATTAAGAAACTAGTTTATATTTCTGAAATATTCTTTTAAAATACTGGTAATTAATTTATAGCAACATGAAATAAAATGAAAATTGTAATAAAATATTAAAATATCTTTTTACAATATCTATTAATGATTAGGATTGCATTTTAAAATGAACATTTTGTACAAATATATTCTACTAGATGTTACCCGCAACTTTGCCTGCACGGATTTTGCAAGCAAGCCCCATTTATATTCAGTATTTCAACAACCATAGTAATTGATATATAACACCTACCGCTGAGAATCAAACGAACTATTTTCAATTTGATCAGTTTTCTGGAACATTTACAATCGTTCTATGATCGAACCAATATGCAATAACAAATTTGAATTTAAAATGGTTTGAACATTTGGTTAAAAAATCAAAATATATAAAAATATTTATAACAATGTGTGAAATGTTATCAGTTTAATACACCTAAGTACTCAATGAAAACCAAATGTAGTTAAAAACAAAAAATCGCATCTAAAATATTACAATAGAAGCTGTTCTTCAGGTTAAGCCTTAATCCTTTCCCTCTCCCCCCTGCGAGGGAATTTCGAAAAATCCCTTCTTAGTGTGTGTTTTCATGACGTACCCTAACTGTGTACAAAATTCACCTCTTTAGGTTCAGCAGTTTGCTCTGGGCGATGATGAATCAATCAGTTAATCAATCAGTCAGTCAGGACAAGTAATTTTATATATTTAGATTTTCATAGCAGTTACAGAAACTAATGACTAAACAAGTATATCTGAGAAAATTTGTTCNCAAATTTGAATTTAAAATGGTTTGAACATTTGGTTAAAAAATCAAAATATATAAAAATATTTATAACAATGTCTGAAATGTTATCAGTTTAATACACCTAAGTACTCAATGAAAACTAAATGTAGTTAAAAAAAACAATTGCATCTAAAATATTACAATAGAAGCTGTTCTTCAGGTTAAGCCTTAATCCTTTCCCTCTCCCCCTGCGAGGGAATTTCGAAAAATCCCTTCTTAGTGTGTGTTTTCATGACGTACCCTAACTGTGTACAAAATTCACCTCTTTAGGTTCAGCGGTTTGCTCTGGGCGATGATGAATCAATCAGTCAGTCAGGACAAGTAATTTTATATATTTAGATTTTCATAGCAGTTACAGAAACTAATGACTAAACAAGTATATCTGAGAAAATTTGTTCTTATTGAATAATGCCTTATTAATTAATTTTTGCAAATTTGCTTAAAATCAATTAATTTAGAAATAAAAATAGAGATACATTAGTTGTATTATCATTTAGTCTGTATGATTAGATTAACAGACTTATAACTATAAATATTACTTTATAATCAAATGCTATTCTGAATATTCTTTTTATCTTTCATCCCTGTATACACTAAGAAAACTTTTTACTCATATCTATCATTGTTTTGGCCATTTTTTTTAACTCTTTTTTTTAACTTTTTTAACTCTTTTTTAACTTTTTTTAACTCTAAGAGGGCCTTTTCTAGCAAACCCATTATGGATTCAGCCAGGCCCACAATGAGGCAGCTGGTAGTGAGGGATGGGCTGACATATCTGGTTGGACCATCCCCCAAAAATTCCTGGAGATTTTTTGACCCATCTGGATTCAATCCCAGGTCCCCCAGAGCAGTAGGCTGCCACCTTGACTGCTCAGCCATCTGGCTAAAAGTTTGGCCATGCCTACAGTGGGGTGGCTAAGAGGCAAGGGATGGGAGCTGACATATCGGAAATGGATTACATCCAAAAATATTCTTGAGGTTTTTAATGCCCAGATTCAATCCTGGGTCCTCCTAGATGATCCTCCTAGAAGAAAGTCGTCCTAGAAGATACTCCTCCTTGGTAGATTGCCCATATGTTACATTGCCTTTTTCCATCAATTCTAAAAAGAAATTGACAGTATTATTATATTAGAAATTAGAAACTGAAAATATAAACATCCATATTTGAAAATATAATTTGAACTTTTAGCTTGACAAACAAGGAAAAACAATTTAAATTCTGTTGTTATATTGTCATAATTTTATCTTTTATATTATGTTTTTAACAATTATATAGAAATTTTAATTTTAAAATAAGGTTTTTAACATTATTATGTATTTTGATATATGTTTTTTTTTTATAAAGAATTATTTATTTACAATAATATAAATTTTGTTTGTTTTTGTATGCAGGTCTTGCTGGCACTATATATTTTCTTGCTGACATGTTAAATCCAGAGCAAGCAGCTTTTCCAGCATTTCAATTATTTTAAAACAAATACTCAAGTAAATAATTGAATTTGTCAGTTAAAATTTTTGTGACTCAATTTCATTATTTATCATCAAAAATTATATGTATACAGTTGTTATTAAATAAAATCAATAATTAAAAATAATTAAATTTAATTATCTATATTAAACTAGTAAATTCTGTAAAATATTATTTTAATGTATTGTAACAATGATAAAGTTTTAGTATTATTTCATTATCATTTAATAATTAATTAATTGTAATCTCATATCTTACCTCAATTGATTTCTTATTTAAATTAGTCATTTTTAATACAGAAAGAAGAGGTATGGGAAAGAGTAGAGTGCTAAGCGATAAGATAGCAGATATGAAAGAGGTGTGCAAAGACAGGAGTGTCTGTAGGAATCTGATAAATGAATGAGTGTATGTGTGCAATCCTTATTGCCTATTGCTCACCTCTTCTGAGAAATAGGCATGAAGATATGTATGTAAGACAGAAAGCAGTGTTTCCCAACCACATTTAATTGATGACCAAGATGTTATTCAAGACTGTTAGGTTGCATAATAAGTTTATTAAAATTTAAAATATTTGCTGATAAAAAACTTAAGAACTGACAAAATCTGTACACAAATAACACTTTGATTAGCTATAATAATATCCTGTTCACACAAATCAGTTATTGTAAATAATACATTTCCTTACAGTATGTATTGGTAAAATTAAAAAAGCTGATTATGCAACCCTGTTATTTATAAAGATATTGTGGCATTGGTGCCAATTTTATCACTGAGCATCATAAGCAATTGTTGCTACAAAAGAAAATGAACAATAATCAAATAATTTTTTCTTCTTCCTAATGGCTATCTATAAGGAATCATTACCATTGCTCATTTCTAAGGAACGTGATGATTTGTATTTATCAAAGTGATAAAATTATAAAGATCATTGTGTCACTTATTTGATACCTATTAATCTTTAATTAAAATATGCGTGGGCTGCACTGAAATATTGCCTGTAGGCAAACTGATTCTAAAACTGGCAGTGTGTGACATTATTGGAAAACTATGAGGAATAGAAACTATTTATTATGATATATAAATGCTGCATGAAAAAATTTTGTTTCAAAATAAAAAAATTTTTTTACGAGCTAAAACTGTAGGAACCTGATGAAGAGCCCAGAAGGGGTTCGAAAACGTTTGTTTTTGTACTTGTTAATCGATCGTACCACACTGTAAATTGATTCAGTGTATGTGAAATTTTGTTTCAATTTAGAATAAATTTGTGGATATTACTGTCAAACATTTAGAATGATTTTACAATTAAAATTCAATGCAACTGTCACACGTTGGTTCTATAGGAATTAAGATATATATGTGAAGAAACAGTATATTTTGTTGTGCTGTAGTAATTAGTCTAATACAAAAATATTTTGTATAGTCTCAAATTAAGGTTCATTGAATTAAAATAGACTTAGTTTTTTGATCAAATATTTCAAATATATAATTAAGTAATTGGTCAATAGAAATTATTATATGCCTAAATCATGCAATCTTTCTATTAAAATATTGCAAAAAGTTTATAGCAAACAATTATTAATAAAAAGAAGATATTTTCAAATATAGCATTCATCTTCAGAACAAATAAATTATGGAAGTTTTAATCAATGAGAATAAAGATAAAATACAGAATGTGAAGAAATTATTGGATAATTTTGTTACACTCATGGGTGAGTTGGTAGTGTTCCAATATTCATAAAATTCCTGTCAATTATACACTGTGAATGTACATTTAGAATGGTCTGAGTGCTGCTGCCATCAGGTGGGGAAAGTGCACATCAATGATAAGGAAAATGGCTGCCTTACCAGTCAACTGTAGTTGTTATGTCCTAGAATATGCATTAAATTAATTACCAATATTGTGGTAGTTCAACATGCATTTCAATGACAATTTGCATATTGTGGTTCTTTGCACCATCAATCTGAAGGTGGTAAGAGCAATTTTGTGACAGAGGATGAATCTGTCATCAAGTGAAAGGTTATGTGGGGAAGCAAAGTGTTACCAAAGTAACAGTCAATAGTGTGTGTAAAAGAAAATCCTAGGAAACCTGTTTGGAGAGCCACTCAAAAAATGAATATACCAAAGTCTACAGTGAGAAAATTCTATGGAAACGATTGCAGTTGTACATGTGCAAATTGCAACTGTTATAAAAAAAAAATCATCCAGACAACATCTACATATGACCACCCCAGTCACTGGACCTTAAACATCTTTAATGAAATCACATACTATAAGTCCTTTCACTTCCAATGATACAGCCATATTGTGGAAGCACATCAATACTATCATCTGGAACACCACATTGCTTGAGAAAGTTTGGCAAGAGTATGAGTGCTGCCTGGACATCAGCTATGCCACACATGGTGTGCACACCAAATACATTTGAGGTCAATATGAAACTGCAAATATTCCTCTTTCACATGGTGATGTGTTTCTGTTCAGTATTGGTGAAAATAGGGTCTTAAAAAATTTTCCAATAATTTGTGTGCACCTGTATTTTGCACATAAAGGTGCTACAAAACATTGTGGTGATTTAATTTGGAGGAGAGGAATATTGAGGATTGATTATATTTGTCATGATATGTGCTTTTTAGTTCCTTTACCAGCTGACTATTGACATTTTTTATCTGTCATTATATATATGTAGTATATAGGACCTGCTGATATGCAGCTTTTGATTCGGAGAAATTGACATAGTCAATACCATATTCCAACCATCTATAATCCCAAATATTCACATGTTAGATTGCTGAGTAAGATCACAATCAGCAAGGAAAGACGACAAATGAAAATCTTATATCTTCTAGAACATCATTTCCCAAACTAGGGTCCACAGATCAATTCTAGAAGACTGGCAGTTTGGCCACTTCTAGTAATACCGTGTTTCCCCGAAAATAAGACATCCGCAGAAAATAAGACCTAGCACAGATTTTGCTGAATTGCGAAATATAAGACCTCCCCCTGAAAGTAAGACCTAGCGAAGTTTTTTTTTTAGTCGTAACGGTCATCGACAGATGGTTGAAAGTACAGCCACTGATTGGTCAGCAGACAATTACGCCACACGGCATGATTTGCATAAGACTATGGCTTGGGAATCACAGATTTGCATAACGTTACGGCTGGTGATCGCTAATTGGTCGGCTGGGAATCACGCCACATCACATTTGCATAGTGCTACGGTTCAGTAAGCACTAATTGGTCATCGAG